CCCCCCTCACTGTGACCCAGTCCCCCCTCTGTGTGCTAACCCCCTGCCCCCCTCACTGTGACCCAGTCCCCCCTCTGTGTGCTAACCCCCTGCCCCCCCCCTCACTGTGACCCAGTCCCCCATCTGTGTGCTAACCCCCTGCCCCCCTCACTGTGACCCAGTCCCCCTCTCTGTGTGCTAACCCCCTGCCCCCCCCTCACTGTGACCCAGTCCCCCCTCTGTGTGCTAACCCCCTGCCCCCCCCTCACTGTGACCCAGTCCCCCCTCTGTGTGCTCACCCCCTGCCCCCCACCCTCACTGTGACCCAGTCCCCCTCTCTGTGTGCTCACCCCCTGCCCCCCCCTCACTGTGACCCAGTCCCCCTCTCTGTGTGCTAACCCCCTGCCCCCCCCCTCACTGTGACCCAGTCCCCCTCTCTGTGTGCTAACCCCCTGCCCCCCACCCTCACTGTGACCCAGTCCCCCCCTCTGTGTGCTAACCCCCTGCCCCCCCCTCACTGTGACCCAGTCCCCCTCTCTGGGTGCTAACCCCCTGCCCCCCCCCTCACTGTGACCCAGTTCCCTTCTCTGTGTGCTAACCCCCTGCCCCCACCCTCACTGTGACCCAGTCCCCCATCTGTGTGCTAACCCCCTGCCCCCCTCACTGTGACCCAGTCCCCCATCTGTGTGCTAACCCCCTGCCCCCCTCACTGTGACCCAGTCCCCCTCTCTGTGTGCTAACCCCCTGCCCCCACCCCCTCACTGTGACCCAGTCCCCCATCTGTGTGCTAACCACCTGCCCCACTGATGTAGAAGTAGCAGTCTCAGGTTTACCTTTTATCCAGTTCCAGAGGTTTCTGCCTCTGCTTTCTCACACCCTTAGCCTGCCACCGATGGGTGCCGTGCAGCCCTCCTGCACGCTAACCTGTAACATAAGCCGGAACCTCATTCTGCAGACATTTCTCAGTCCGCTGAGGTTCCACTGCCTGGCGATTGCCATCCGTTCGGCTCCAGTAAACTCACAGGCCTTTTCTCAGGCTGATGCTCTTTCCTCGACAGTCCAGCCGAGGGCTGACTCCAGCATTCCGGGGGAGGCCTGACCCCCGCCCCCTCGGCTCTCCCGCGGCCGGACAAAGGCTCTCTGGAGAGCCGGGCCATTCCGCGCTCTCTGCCGGCTCTCCATCCTGGAAATGCCCGGCTGGGACAGTTACTGTTTAAACAAACGCCCCATCAGAGACATTTCCGCCTAATGGCCCGGCCTAGGGGAACCCGAATGAAGCCCAGCAGACCCGGCTGAGGTGCCGGCTGGGTCAGCCCAGCACAGGGCCGCTAATCAGGTGTCCCTGCTCTGCTCCTCCACGCTCACTTGATATATTTCATCAAATTCTAAACTCCAAAGACAATTGCCCGTTCCTATTGGGATTCTTTGAAATGGGGAAGACACAGAAGCGGCGTGGTGACTTTGAGTTGCTGATATGGTGGGTGGGGAGGGACGGACAGGATACAGTGGGTGGGAGGGGCGGACAGGTTATTTTCCGGCACGGCACCGGGAGGCAGGATAAGCAGGGAGGAGACTGCAGCGGCAGGAGGGAGTGAGGGCAGACCGCAGGAAGAACTCATGAAGCACAGTGCAGGGCTCTGTGTGACATTTTCTCCGGAGCTGCCTGCCTCTCCCTCCAGAGCTGAGCCAGGTCTCCTCTTCTCTGGGCGTCTGCACACGGGCTGGCGTGTTAGCGAGTCTCCTGCTTGCCCACCAGTGCCGGCCAGGCCAGCTTCCTTTTGGGTTTCAGAGAGACCCAACCCCAGTGCCGGGTCCTTAGAGAGACCTGGGCCCAGGCCCCCGCTCTCCTGCAGGGAAACTGGTGCTCAGAGAGGCTGCGGTTCTCCCCCAGTCACCCCGTCTGAGCACTTAGCACGGAGGGCTTGCCCGCCTGCTTACAGTCAGAGCTCTGAACGGGACGGCTGCTGAAGAGGCGGCTGGGATTCAGGCCCTGGTGCCCGGCCCAGCCAGGCCTGGCGACATGACTCCTGGAGGTCATGTCTGGTCATTCTGCCCCCACAGAGGTGGCTCTGGAGCCCCCTTGTCAGCCAATGACCCCAAAGCCCCAGGGCAGGGCCACCAAGCGAAATTCCCTGAGGTATATGTGTCTGTGTGTATGTCTGAGGGTCTCTCTGTGTCTATGCGTGTCTGTGTCTGTGTCTATGAATGTATGTCTCTGCATGTGTCTCCATGTATGTGTGTGCATTTGTGTGTTTGTGTGTATGACTCTGTATGTGCCTCCGTGTTTGTCTCCATGATAAGTCGAGTCAGCCATAGTCAGCAAGAGGGCGTCCCAGCTGCACTAGCTGAGTCCAGGGGGAGGGCGGGTGGCTGGCCGCTCTGGGGCTGGAGGCTGGGGTGGCCCAGAAGGCTGCCCAGTGGAGCTAGGCCTCAGGCTGGGAACCTTCAGACTGGACGGGTCCGCAGACAGCCATCTGCCAGCCAACAGTGCTTCTTTTTTTACCCCCTGAGCCATACAGCCTGCCCAGCCTTCTCAGCACAGCTGGTGAGGGGTGGGGGTGGGACAGGGTAATTATGGCCTGCGTGAGGCAGGGATGGGGCAGGGCCTGGGTTAGTTTTGGCTCCCAATAAACAATGGCCCGTTTATTTTCAGTTTCACTCATTCATTCATTCATTCATTCAACAGAAGGATGGTGAGGACTCTATTCTGGGTAAAAACTGCAGTGGCTCCCGTATGGGCACTGTGAGCACACACTCACTCCCTTTCTCCGGCCCTCCAGGAACTGCATGAATTGGACAACGTCCCCCCCATCTTTTGGGCGGGCACAGCCTTAAGACAGAACATGTCACTCGTCAAGCCTGGCAGCCCGGCTCGGAGGCCGGCATTGCAGGCCCTGTTCTCCGGGCAGGGCTCAGGCTCACACGGGGTTCGGACTGAGCCCAGGCAGGCAGTTCCCACAGACGTGGCCCCTCCAGGAGCGACACGAGTTCCCTGCAAGCCCAGAGCCGCGCACACGGGGCTGGGCAGGGCCGTGGACAGCGGGAACTGCGTGGTCGAAGCGCAGGTCTCTCTAACGTGCGTGGTGCTGCGTGTGCCTGGCCACGGTGCACCCCTCAGGTCCCGTGCTGTTCAGTTGCCTGTGTGTTCCCGGGGCCGGGATCGGAGCCGGATCGCCGTCAGGGCTGGTCGCGTGAAGAGAAGACAGGAGTAATGCATGACTAGGCCTTCTGTCAGAGACTTCCATCTGACTGGGCAAACAAGACACGTATTTGGGGCCATTACATGTGACAGTAAAGAGAATTGTGCTTTGCCAACATTCCTTCATTCACCAAGCGTTCACTGAGCGAGCTGCCAGGCACTCGGTGGGCCATGGCGAACACGGTCTGGGTCTGGCTGCCATAGTCTGGAGCACGGAGGAGGGCACTGAGGAGTCTTTGGGGAGAGGCAGGGCTGTCGGGTAGGGGAACGGAGGGAGACAGGGCAGACCAGGAGGCAGACACCGCGGACATTCCCTGACTGATATGGAAGTCAGGGGCTGGGTTGTGGGAAGGTGCTGAGTCTTCCGGGCCTGGGCACCGGTGAGCACAGGGTGGCACGCTGAGGTCAGCCCCGAGGACTGATGGGGAGGAGGCCACCGGCCAGCCCTCCCCCACTCCCAGGGGTTGTGTCTGAGCACTCTGCCTGGGACAAGGACCGTCACACATCACAGCTCTAATGGAAGTCTCTGCAGGCTGGGAGGCGATGCTCCTGCCATCCTAAGCGGGCCACACGGCACCTCCTCCCTCCTCCCGCCTGCCGCCCTGGGATTTCTCTCAGCCCTCCGGGAAGGGGGAGCAGGCCTCCAGCTCCTCCCTGCGGAGGGATTCTCTCCCAGGTTTGCTGCAGCTGCTGGCCAGGGTACCTGTTACACGTTGCAAACCAGAGGGAGGCCAGCGAGCTGTGGGCCTTGGAGAGGCGGTTCCCCTCACCTGGTGGGGCTCTGGGGTGGCGTGGTGTCTCAGTGGAAAGGGACCCACAGGCTGTGTGACCAGCGGCAAGCAGAATCGCCTCACTGGGCCTCAGTTTCCCGCGTGTCCTATGCTTGGACCAGGAGCAGTGGGGTGTGCAAATGAACACGCCACAGGGGGGCACACGCCACAGTTCAGCGGATGGGAGGATGGAGGAGCTACTGACAGATGAAGGTGGAGGGGGTGGGGGCGTAGAGGAGCGCCACCCCTTTGCACCGCTGTGTTTTGCTGCTCTCTTGTGTCCTATGACCCCAATCTTTGGGGTCAGGGGGGTCCCTGACGCGTCCCGGGTGGGGGCGGGGGGTCGATGAGCTGACACGGCACGGCGGGAAGAGGGGAGGAGGGGCTTCCAGGAGGGGGCGCCCGCGGGGCCGGCGGGAGGGGCGCAGCCGGCAGGGTGTGCGGGGTGGAGGGGGGGTGGAGGGTGGCGGCGGGTGGCGGGCTCGGAGAGCACCGGTTCCGGCGGCGGGTGCGGGCGGGGGCTCCCGGGTGCTCCTCTTTAAAGGCGGCGGAAGCGCCACGCGCTCGGCCCGCACTCGCGGCGCGAACTTGCCGGCCCTCGTGCTGCGGGCGCCCCCGCCCTCCCGCCGCCCCGCGCCGCCCGGCCCTGCTGCCCTCGCTCCTCCGCGGCTCCCGCGCGTCCCCATTCCTCCCGCCGCCGCGGCGCCCGCTCCTCGGCCGGCTGCGCCCGCGGTGGGCTCCCGCTCGCGCCCCTCGCTCCCCCGCCCGGAGCCCGGGCCGGACCGCGCTGCCCGGAGCCGCCTCGCCCGTCCCCCCGGTTCGGACCCCGCGTCCCGCGGCTGCCGGAGCGGGCTGCCCCGCGCTCCCCGCCCGCCTGCCCGCCCGCTGCTCCCGGAGCAGCCGCTGCAGCGGCCCCGGCTCCTCCCCGCGGCGCCGGGGCTCCGGCGGCTCCGCGCCCGCTCGGTCCGCAGCGTCAGCGCCGCCGCCGCGGCCGGGCCCGGCCCCGCGAGAACCTCCGCCGCCTCCGCCGCCCCGCGCCCCGACCCTCCGCGGGCGGACCCCGCCGGCGCGGTGAGTGTGGCCGCGGGGACCGGCGGGGACGGTGCCGCCGGCCTGGCGCGGGCTGCGGGGGGACCGGGCGCGGGGAGGCGGCCTCCGGAGCTCCCGCGCTCGGGCTCCGGGGGAAGGCCGGCCGCGGAGTTTGGGGGCTGGGGGTCTCCCCGCCGGGCCGCCCCGAACGCCCCGGGGAGGGTCGGCGGCTGCGTCCTGCGGGCCGGGGAGGTGACCGGGTCCGGGGGGAGGTGGCCCGGGTCCGGGGGGAGGTGGCCCGGGGCCGGGGGGGGGTGGCCGGGGTCCGGGGGGAGGTGGCCCGGGTCCGGGGGGAGGTGGCCCGGGTCCGGGGGGCGGTGACCGGGGTCCGGGGGGAGGTGACCGGGGTCCGGGGGGAGGTGGCCCGGGTCCGGGGGGAGGTGACCGGGTCCGGGGGGAGGTGACCGGGTCCGGGGGGAGGTGGCCCGGGTCCGGGGGGAGGTGACCGGGTCCGGGGGGAGGTGACCGGGGTCCGGGGTTGTGTCAGGCTCCGCTGCCCGGGTCTGCCGGCTCTCGGTGGGGGCGGCGGGGACGCGCCGGTTCGCGGTGGCAGGGCCGGCGGGAGCGGGGCAGCACCCGCACCCCTTCCCGTCCCTCCGTCCCTCCCGGTGGAGGCAGCGCCAGCCGCGAGCGCCTCGGCCGCTGCTCCCGCCCCGCGTCGCGCTCCGCGGCCGCCAGCGCCGCCTGGACCCCGGCGGAGCGCCCGCTCGCCTGGCCGCGCCGGTTTGGGGTGGCGCTCGGGGTCCCCCCGCCCCGGGCCTGGGGGTCAGTGCTCCTCGGACAGTCTGCAACGACCTCCCCGGACCCAGAGGAACTCATCCTCCGTGTGGCAGCCCGGCGCTGCGTGTGTGAGTGTGTGTGCGTGTGTGCGTGCGTGCGTGTGTGTGTGAGTGTGTGTGAGTGTGTGTGTGTGTGAGTGTGTGAATGTGTGTGAGTGTGTGTGTGAGTGTGTGTGAGTGTGTGTGTGAGAGTGTGTGTGTGTGTGAGTGTGTGAATGTGTGTGAGTGTGTGTGCGTGTGTGTGAGTGTGTGTGAGTGTGTGTGCGTGTGTGTGAGTGTGTGTGTATGCGTGTGTGTGTGAGTGTGTGTGAGTGTGTGAGTGTGTGTGAGTGTGTGTGAGTGTGTGAGTGTGTGTGAGTGTGTGTGTGTGAGTGTGCGTGTGCGTGCGCCCCGGTGGGGTCCCCTCTGGGGTCGGGCTTCCCCGGCGCTCCTGGGAGCGGGGAGCCCCTCCGCGGAGGCGCGGGCGGAGGGGAGGGGAGGGGAGGGGAGGGAGGACCGCGGAGCGGCGCCCCGCACCGGGCGGTCAAGGCTGTTGGTGCTGAAATGCCAGGCGGTGGCGGCTGCGGGGAGTCCTGAGGCCCGATCGTGCGGACGAGCGCCCCCTGCCCCGGGCCACAGTGACACCCCGGCCGCTGGGCTTCGGGTCCTGGAGGCGGCTTCTCCTGCTTCCCCTCCCGCGTCAGCCTCGCTGCCCTGGGGCGGGAGGAGCAGCTTTGCGGTGTTGAGCTGGGTTTGCCTAGCGGGGTGCCCGGAGCTCCGTGTCTGATGGAGCAGCTAGTCCCTGTGCCCCTCCTGTAGTCTGGCAGGAAGGCCTCTGTGATGGGAGGAGGGCGTGTGTGTGTGTGTGTGTGTGTGTGTGTGTGTGTGTAGGGGGTGGGTGGGTGGGGGATAGGGGGGTGCGCGCTCCATCACAGCCCCTCCCTGCCACATTCTAGGGTGACAGGGGGGCTTGGGCAGGCAGCGGGCCAGCGCTCCGAGTCTCCTCACTGCACATCCGGTTCCCACAGCCCCGGGGCCAGCTCCCTGTGGAAGAAATGACTGTTCTAATTCCCATCTCCCTCCCCTGGGCCTGGGTCTGTCCCACGCTCCTCTGGATCCACAGGGGCTGCGGGGCTGCCCCAGGCTCTGTGTACAGTCCAGCTCTCAGAGGCCTCAGGGCTCCACGCAGAGGTGAGGACCTCAGGGGCTCTCCCTGGGGTGGCAGACGCAGTCCCCCCCAGAGCTCTGGACGCTCCTGGGTGTGGTCACCCACTGGGCAGGCCCTGGGGACTAGTGGTGAGGGCCTGGCTACTGTGGAGAGTGGAGCCCCCCCCCCCACCCCACCCCCGGCCACCACTTCCTAGAGGGCCTTTGAGGATGGCGCCTGGACGGCAGGCCTGCCCATTGTGAATGCGGTGACCACGGCCCTCACCTGCCCCCAGCTTCTGTCCTTTCGGCCATCAACTTTCCTTCCCCACCTGTCAGCACCCACAATCCTCTCAGAGCGGAAGACAGCAAAGTTTCCCCTCCTGAGAGCTCAGCCCCTTCAAAGCCTTGCCATGGAACCTGTGCGTTTATGAGACCCGAGAGGAAGATGGCCTACCCCAAGGCGTGCTCTCTGATGGTGGGGGCGGGTTTCAGGAGAGATGTCCGGGTCGTAGGGGGGCATGCCATGTGCCAGGCGTAGGGGAGGGAGCAGTGGAGGTGGGAGTGTGGTGGGAGCTGAGCTGTCTTTTTGGCCTCAGTGGCCTGGGCTGCCCCCCCTCCCCACCTTCCTCTGGGCGGCTGCAGGCTGCGTGTCTGTTGGAGGCGGGACCTCTCCTGGAGGAGCCTGTGCACAGCAGCAGGCAGGCAGAGGCAGGTGAGGGGACTGTGAGTAGGTGAGGAGTGAGTGGGTGAGTGAGCAGGGTGCTGGCCCTAAGGGTCAGAGGGTGGACCCAGGGCAGAGGGCTCTGGAGCCCTCTCCCTGGGAGGTCCCCGGCTCAGACTCAGGATGCTTGGCCACATCAGGGCTGCCCGCTCCCTGGGGACAGCTGGCAGGAAAGGATGGGACCAAGACCCACGGGCTTCCGTGGGTTATAATTACAGCCAACAGACGCGTCCTCTCCCCGAGACAAGTGCGGGCTGGCAGCCCCTAATTACCGCCCACCACGACATCTGCCCACCCTGCTGTCCTCCTCTGCTCAGCCTGGAACCCAGCTTTGTGGCGGGCAGGCCCCGTGGCAGCCTGCGCAGCTGGGCCTGTCGGCTGGAAGGTTATCTCACTTCTGCAGAACGGTGGCAGCCTTTGCTGCCCGGAGAAGGTGCGGGGGAGCTGGCATCTGGGCTTCGCCCTGCTCGCTGGGGCTGGCAGAGGAGCGGCTGGCTGCCCAGGCCAACCCGAGGGCCTTCCCCAGGCGGGCAGCGGGCCTGGAGCGGAGGGTACCAGCTCCCTGTTGCTCCCGCCCAGCCTGGTGTCAGCTCCTGCAAAGGGCAGGGACAATTTGTTTTCGTGTTAACTCTGCCCCAGCTAGCAGACGACCATCAAAAATTAATTTAGAGATTTCACTGCCTTTGGCCCTGACAGAATGCGGGCTGTCTTTCCCCTCGCTCCTGGCGGCCCTGGTTCTCCCTCCAGTGAGTTCTCTCTGCCCAGTCTCTGGCCTCCCAGCCACCCAGGCTTGTAGCTCTGTTCCAGGCTCCAGCTCCAGTCAAACTCTGGGGCTTCTGCCTCAGTTTCCCCCACTTCTGTTTCACTGTTTGAGCTTCTCCAGCGTGGCTAAGTGGTTGAGCATTGACCTATGAACCAGGAGGTCACGGTTGGATTCCCTGTCAGGGCACGTGCCCGGGTTTCAGGCTAAATCCCCAGTGGGGGGCGTGTGGGAGACAGCCAATCCATGATTCTCTCTCATCATTGACGTTTCTCTCTCTCTCCCTCTCCCTTCCTCTCTGAAATCAATAAACATATATGAAACAAAAGGGAGGTGGGTAACAGGACTTGCTTAAAAAAGATAAGGCCTGCCCTGCAGCCCGCCCACCCCGCGCCCAGCCCTGCCTGGGAGCGCCTCCTCCGGCCTGGCCGTCTCTCTTGGCTGGAAAATGAGCACCAAAAGGATAGTAATGATCACCCCTTCAATTAAAGCCGATGACGCCTGTCAAAATGTTTTATTATTAATCTCATCATTTAGCAATCTCGCGGCAGCAGTGCGGCTTAAATATGTGCACACGCGTATATTAGATAAATCGAGAACGCGGGGCGTGATGCCATTATCCGGACCCCATTCAATTAAGGAGATATTATCTGCCGGCGCTGGGAAGAGCCCCCGATGACAGCCCAGGCCATTCCGGGCTGAGCCGCGCTGCCGAGCCGGCGAAAGCGCTGGGCACTGCTGCTGTGATGGCCCTGAGCGCCGGGGAGCTCCGCCAGCTGCACCGGGCCCAGGGGCTGTGTGTCCTGCCCTGTCCCGCGCACTCGCCCGCCCAGGCCCCCCTCCGTCCCTCAGGACAGCTACTCCCCCTGGACCTGTTCGCTGGTCGGGGCCCAGGACTTGTAGTAAAAACAGTCATTGCTACGGGGCGGGTTTTAGATGTGAATAGTGAAGTAAGAATCGGGGCCTGGCCTGATTCTGAAGGTTCTGGTACGTGATGGCTTCTTAGGGGCCCCTGTCCCTTCTCTGTGCCTCACTGCCATGTGGCCGGGACGGAAGTCCCACCCACAACCTGACTGTTCACGGCTGAGGGAGATGGTAGAGTTCGGGTGCTGACTTGCTAAGCCAGGGCCCAGCTGTCCAGGCGGTGCTGGGTGGGGAGCTCTGACTGAGGCGGGAGGCAGGAAGGAGGAGGGGAAGAAGAAGGCATCAGCAGGGAAGCCCACAGCAGCAGCAGCTGCGAACAGAGACTCTGCCCGCGTGGGTCTTCAGTGGGAAAACAGGATGGTGGCGGCACGTGTTGGGGGCGAGTTGGGGGAAGGAGAGGCCTGGGTTGCACGAGAGGAGGGGCTGGTGGTAGGAGGAGATCCGGGCGGATTTGAGCTTGGAGGCCGGTCCCCCGAGCTGGGTGAGGCAGAAGTCAGGGCTGGCGTTTTCTGGGCTGACCTGGTGGAAGCAAGGGCGGCGGGGAGGTGCTGCGCTCTCTGCCGGCTGCTGGGAACTGCTGTGGCCTCGGCAGGCTGCTGCCCCGTGAGCCTCAGCGTTTCCTGTCAGGGATCTCTGCCTGTCGCTGTGCTCAGAGCCGCCGGTGGGCCCT